AGCCTGTCTCATGTGTGCGTCGGGAAACGAGTGCACGGTTACATTTACGAAAACACACACAGTTCTAAGTCTTTGAGCGTGTCTCTCGCGAAGTACATACCGAGAGAACGTGATATATCACCGAGGATCTTCTCGCGCAGCGTCACGGTCGGCTTGTGGCCGGGCCACTAATAGCACCATGTGGTTACGGTTGCTGCACGCCTTATGTGTTTATCACTTGAACCCGCTTGCTTTGCAGAGACACAATACACGCGTTAGAAGTGGCAGAAAGGTTTGACAACTTATGCCGAAGCTTCTGTGATGGTTTATTGCCTAGGAAACGACAGGAAAGTATCCAAAAATGTCATGCAGGCGTTCAAATTACATATACAGTGGTGGGAGACCGACTCGGTCCTGACGGGTCTCAAAAAAGAGAGGAAGTAGGATGGATGATGAGGGCGGGCTTCACGTACCTTGCCTGACGCAGACTGACTTCTCAAGCTGAGAGTGAGAGGGGTGTGGCAGGCATACACCTCCTTGAATGCAGTCTACGGATGCAAGATATTTTTGATCGGACATTGGTTCTTTCGTCATTGTGCATCAACAGACAGTGTGCAATCGTTAGATAAACATTGGAAAAACAAAAAATAGAGAATGCACTTCTGTCAAATACTCTTGACGCGTTTATTGTTCACTGTCTATCTTTGTGTATGTTATTTTTATTGTGATGCATCGATGCATCACAGGATATTCGGCGTGTGAACACGAATCGTTCAAGGTCTTGGTAGAATTATTTCTACAGTGTTAATAACTAACAAATAATTGCTAATATCTCCTTGCGATATGTGGGCAGACGTGGTGTCCAGGCAGTGCTAGATAGATTAAAGGCCAGGGATGGTAAATCTACGACGAGACGACAGACACCCTGATCCTGCGACTTTAACCCACAGCTCACCGCAGTGCCAGTTGTGGCCCAGGGCAAGCCTTATTGCCCTCAACCCGCCTCCCCCTTCGTCACGGCAACTGGCTGGAAAATTGCTGGTGCTGACAGACTAAGGAACGCCGACTCACTACCCATGTTTCTCCCCCTTTCCCTTTGTCGATGTCAAGGGAGTGTGCAGGCGATGCCGACTCCCCCCCTCCATCAAACAAGCCCCGGAACGATCGAGCCGAGGTGACGAAGGACGAGTAATCCTCCGGCCTGTCCGATCGGCACACGGACACCAAAAGCCCATCACCTGTCGACTTAGACATGCTCAGGCAAATCCCCCAATCGTTCGACCTCACAAGGACAGGGCCTGCATGTTAACTCCCCTCGTCGCATCAGGTATCACGAGAGGTTAGAGGAGAAAGCGGAGACGCCATGCGTTGGCACACCTATCGGTGGCCAAAGCACTTTCCTCCCCTACCCCGTTCGCTCCGTCCTCCGCTCCAGCCCCGGATGGCAGCCGAACTGCGGTTTCATTTGCCTAATTTCATTGAAAGCTGAGACGCCAGGAGTAGAGTGGCCAAAGAAATAGTTGATCAAAATATGAATATTCCATGTCACAGCCTTTCACACGAAGCGGGCACTAGACTCGGCCGATATACACACTGTACCATCGCTGTACGGGTGCTGTAATGTTGAACTATTGAGCAAGCGTCAAGGAAGGTCAGTCTACTGTTTTGTTATGAAACACACATGCGGCTTTTCGCAAAACGCACTCCACACCGTAACAAACAAGTCAGCTTTTGAGGCTGGCCCACAACTTACTTGACAAAATGATCAGTCACAACCCAAATCCTCTGCCCAAGATACCGCACCATTGAGAATTGGTAACGGGATGCCTCACATGAAAAACTGCAGTACATTCGCTGCCCTAATCATACACCACCATCTCGGCTCCGTATCCCCCTCCGAATTCCTGTCCCAAGGCCTCCTTTAGGCTCATAGCATTCTAACACGTTCCTTTAAGTCCCCGTCCACACTCCACACAAATCTTCTCCTTCCATGACAGATCGTTTTTTTGTCGTTCATCATTCCTGCGAAGGATAGTCTGCCCCGCCGTACAAGCAGGCATTAACCAGGCATAATACGCGTTCTGCCCAGAGTCCCCTTCAGCGTTACACCAACAGTGGGCCGGCCGGCCGCGTGTTGGAAAATTGATTTCACTCGTGGGCCGAGCGAGGGCCATTTCCCAACAGAGTCGTCGTGCTCCCGGCGAAATTAATTGGTCTTCAATCATTCTTTGCAGCCGATGACAAGTTGGCCTATAGAAATTAAAGCTCAACATGGTATACTTCAGAATGCTAGAGTATCATATCCAATAATGCGGTTTATTGATCGTTTTCTGGCCGAGCGTAATGTATGAAACCATGCCATTGCTTGTTACAACATGAACCCGTAGAACATTAATAGATATTTTATTCTGTTATAAAAACGGAACAGATAAGAACACCTTGCATTGAGTTATTTCCCTTTTGTAATTCTGTGATGGTGAAATAAATTTAAAATGAAAATTTCTCCCGACCGGCAAGAAGGATTTATGATTTCGCCAGTAAAGAGTTCCCCCCTTTGGAACGCCTGTCATTTATCTTCCGGATCTGTGATGTCATGATACGACACGTACCCTTCATCCCGTAGAATGTACTTAATATATATATGTATAATACTTACCAGTACTAAACCGGTCAAGCGTCGTTTCACGCTCCATTTGTACACATCACGACAAACTAGAACAACTAGAACTTGAAACCATCCCATCTGTAATAAATCATAAAAAGCAAAAACAGACGAGATTGGAGGTAATCAGCCAACCTATCTTCCATTCTTCCGCCGCGTAAGTTGACGTCAGTGGCGCGCAGAACGTTAAAGAGCGGAAGCCACGACTATGGACATCTTCAAGAAGATAATTCCATTCTACTGGAGGATAGTTTTAGACACAAAAGAAAAGATCTTCCTTCTACCGAGTTGTTATTACAATTCCTGCCCGTTTTCACAATAAAATTCACTAAAGGCGCTTTTATCATGCATCAGAGTGACAAAAACAAAGGGTAAACGCGCCACTAATAACAGTCCGAGAAGGAAGCAATATGTTTTCACTGGGACCAGGAAAACCATTTTACTATGACATTGTCACGCCTATTGACAGATAATTAGCACACCTGTCTGAGATTTTGCAGTGAATTATTTTACACCCAGTACGACTAGGAATAAAGAATATGCATGTACGGGAATTTAAATGAGCTTTGAAGCTTTTCACGGGGAAGGTAGCGAGTACAGTTGCAGCGGTTTGCAGTAGCACCATGCAAGGATACCTCTTTTATGGATGTTTGTGGGTCTGAAAAGAACTGGAGGGTACTCAACGTTACGGACAGTATGGTCTGTCTGTCGTCAGGGGACTACACAGGTTATTTTAATGGCGCTTTCAGCTACTCAGGCTATTTGCGCCAATAACGATACGTTTATTCATAACCTTTATTAATCAGCATGACATTACAAAGTTAGGAAGAAGGTCCAGTTTTAGAGACAGGAGGAAACCGGAGTACCCGGAGAAAACCTGCGAGAGCGAATTTGGACTGGAAACCAAAAGAACTTAAAGCCTGGACCAAGCCGGGACTCGAGCCAGTGCCTCATTGGTGCAAAGCGAGGAAAGAACCGCTATACGCTAACCCGCTCCTGATCCCCCAACCTGCAGAGGTTCTGGAGGCGATGAGTTGTGAAGAGGATGCTAACTCAGGAACCAACCAAAAGCACTCAGGCAGAATATGGGATGCTAGCAGATCAATGAGGTGTGTCAGTGTAAAGGGAGGGGAGCGTAGGGTAGGGTTGCCAAGGGTATAGGAGACCCACAAGCTGGGAGCATGTCCTAAGGTATAGGAGACCCATTGGACTGGGTGTGAGGAGGAGATGTTGCTGATGTTGAAACTGCTGTCTTAGGGGTACCGTGACGTGTTTGAGGATTTCGATCACTTCTCTGGTCTTCAGTGCTGGTGATGAGTTTGGCTCGGATCCAGTCGATCTGGTGGTCTTTGGTATGGCAGTGCTTAATAATGTCAGACTTGTTGACTTCTTTCCTGCCAATGGCTCTGTGTTCATTTAGTCTGGTAGGGAGATCCCTGCCAATCTCACCGATGTACACTTGCCGCATTGGAAGGGGATCTTGTACACTCATGGCTTATGATGTGGATTGGGCCGGTCATTGTGGTAAGTCAGCAGGTTCTGCATTTTCAGGGGGGGGGGTTGGTTCTATGGAACACTCGAATGCCATGATCGTGGAGGATGCGCTGGATGTTATGGGAAGTACTGCCTAGGTAGGGGAGGGTGATGGAACTAGGGGCCCTAACTAGTTGGCTTTGGGTATAGGAGACCCTTTGGCCGGGGTTGGATCTTGGGTCTTGAGTCTTGACTTGGCTGGGCTTGTATCCATTCCGCTGTAGTGCTGTGGAGATGTGATGGAGTTCTTGGATAAGGTGGTCCTTGTCGCACACGCTGTATGCCCTGCGTACAAGTGCCAGGTTGTCTGAAGACTTGATCTTGGGGTGATGGAACAAAGCGCTGTGGAGGTATCTATCTGTACGAGTGGGTTTCCGGTAGACTCGGCAGGCGAGACTGTCATCCTGAAATGAGATGTTGCCATCCTTTTCCTGGATGCTACTGTGAAGCCTGTTGAGGTGTTTCAGAAAGAGTTAGAGGCTGTCCTACCCATGCTGTCAGATGAAATAGGTGTCGTCTACTTACCAGAGTCAAATCTTGGGTTTATGGTCTGCTGTAGTGATGGCGTTCTGTTCAAATTCTTCCATGAATATGTCGGCCAGAACCAGGGATATAGGAGATTGCAGACCAAAGTCACGACCTGGTCCTCACCTGCATGAACTCACCAAGCTTCAGCTGGGGGGAGAAATTCTGTGAACAAACGGTTTTAACCTCCATGGCATACCGCAAACCTCTAAATGTATATAAATAAAAGACTGTAAAACGGTGATATAATATTGAAGCGGGTATCTTTAATGCAAAACTAGTGAAGCAAACATAGCAACTGGATTCCGTAGTGTAGTGGTTATCACGTTTGCCTCACGCGCGAAAGGTCCCCGGTTCGAATCCGGGCGGAATCACACTTTATACTTTTAAGAGTTATTTTACATGATATACACAGCATAAACGAGTGTGAGTATGTTCTTATCTGACTGGCAGTACTGAATCGAAGTTAAATTTTACTGGCTTAATTTTTTTCCTTCACTGGAATATAGATGTTTATGCTGATAAAATCTTTTACTTTTCAAATTTCCCTATTGTTTAAAAAGCTCTGATTCTGAGGTGAAGTGATATCACATGTGCCTTACACATGCAGGGTCCCTGGTCCGAACCCAGGCGGGATCACACTTCTTATTTTTAATATTCATTGTGAATGATATACAGAGAATAACACGATGTTTTTTATTATCTAATCAGTAGTAAGGGAAAACTTAGGGACTTTCTTTTTTCCTTTACTAGAAAGAGCAGGTCAATCATCACATGCAGTTTTTCATTTCTCTCTTTTAGGTGTATCTATACAGACAA